TTCATTCATTCATTCATTCATTCATTCATTCATTCATTCATTCATTCATTCTTTTTGATTACAAAAAGAAGAAAAAAAATACATAAAAAAGGTTTAACAAAAAAGTGAAAAAAACGAGAAAAAAAGGGTTAATATATCATTATAACAATAAACAATTTCAATTTTACATATGCTTATCTGATACAAGTATTATTCAAGTACATTTATATTTCTAATAGATTTATATAATTACCTTTTTTTTTTTCTAACTCAGTGTATTTGGTATAAACGAGTCTCCTATTTCATGATTCTCGTCCATACAAATCTACGTCTACAGGCAATCCGCTCATAAGCGGCAAGTGCAATCAGGTCTTCAATCCACTGAATAAATGGGGTCATACGTGTATCTTTCCAAAGCTGCAGTATCAGCCTTTTGGCCACAGTAAGGGCACGGAGAATCCATTTACGTACTCCACGACTATTTTCTTCATGGTGCCATGTCTCTCTCTTTGCTGATTGAATTTAACAGTTTTCTTGGGAAGAGAGAGGCTTCTCCACCGAAACCCGTTCTGCAATGTTTTCGTTTCCTTTGCAAGCGTTGTCTTGCTGTTCTCCAGGGCTGATGATATATATGAAGTTTTCTTGGGTGTGGATGAGAGAGGGTTGTAATTACAAGGCAACTGGGTGATACCCTTTCTCCCCCCACCACTTCATTTTGAGGGCCTCCAAGCCCCAGACTAGGAAAAGTTGCATACTGAGTCTTAACCATAAAAAACAGGCAAAGTTTCTAGCTTTGCCAATCTGAATCTATCATTGGGGGGGGGGGGGTATGTTTTCAGAGGGGTCCCAGGAATCCTCTTTTTGCAGCAAGAGTTTCGCTGCCCTTGAAAGACGCACCAATTTATTATCCCCAGAGACTGGTGGATTGGATGTAACGATAAATATGAAATCACACCCCCCAATTTGCAATCCCTGCCCAGCGATCGCAGGGCGACCTCTTTGTTAGGATAAATTTAACACAAAAGCGTGCCCACCTTAGTTCTTACTGCTCTTTTGAAGGCAGGTGGTATTTAAAAATTAGGCTCAGTATTTGAGATGTTCCTGTATGGATGGGGTGTAGTTTCCTTCTTGGGGGTCCCTTGGTTAGAGTATTGGCTTTTGCCTGAGGCAGAACCAAAACCCACCAAAACTGGCAGGGCAAGCTATGTATATAAACAGGGAGAACACCCCACACTCACCCGCACTGATGATGTAACCTCGCTGGGTAACGGAGTGTCTGCAAGCAAACCGCCAAGCTCAGAGAGCGCCCAGGACTCCACAGTGCCGTATATACCTGTGAACAAGCCGAGAATTTTGGGTTCCAAAACACCCCCCCGAAATTGGGTTCGGCTTATCCACAGATGGGCTTATCTGCAAATATAGGCGGTAAATTCTTTGGGCTTCTGGGTTCTCTCTCAGCAAGAATGGGTTTCCAGTCTCCACTTCTGGCTTTTAGTCCTTTAAGACCCAGAGAGGCGACCTTGGCCCCACAAAGCAGGCCTGGCCTGTGGGGTGTCTTGTCCCAGCTCCGGTCTCCCTCTCTTCCCCGTGGGGCTCTTAGCCTGACCGGCTGGGCATCGCAACTGTCCTTTCATCAGCACCTGGCAGAGAAATTCCGCTCTGTTTTTTCAACTGCTCACGCAAAGGGACAGAAAAATGTGGAGAATTGTCCTGGGTGGGGTGTCCTTATATTTATTTAAAGATGAAACAACTGGGGGGGGGCATCAATGCCCCCCCCTCTCTCTGCATCCTCCTCCCTCCGGCCTCCCTTCCATCCAGTCTCAAAGGAAGACATTAAGAAGGAACATTTTCCATCCAGCTCGCTCTGTTTCCTATGGAGTACTCCATATTTTCCTCCACCCGCCCTATCAGGGCATATCGCTTCCTTTGTGGGCTGTCCCCAATTTGTCCTTAATTATTTCAAAACAGGAGTTTTGAGATCGGTGTCTGTCCTTTACTCAGAGGTGACATCTCTGCATATGTTTCAGTGCTCCAGAACGTTTCCAGATCTTGAACTGCAGCATAGTACAGATTGCAACCGCATGCACATCTCATGCTAAAATAGGCCTCGTTTAATCATGGTTTGTCAGCTAAACCACCATGTCTCAGGTTTGCTGAACAGGTTGAACTGCAACCTAGCATTCACATACAGGGGCTGAGTCATACACGTCGCACAGCCAAATTGAACAGACCGATGGCTGAGCGTGAGATGAAAAGCAAATCTTTTCCTTTAGTTTTGCCCAGTGGAGTGAAAGGGGCTGGGTGGGGTGAGTTCCACAACGGCTTTCTACCTAGTGTGCAGCAGTGGGCGTGAGATTCGCGTTCCTGCCCTCAAAGGAATTTAAAAGGCTCACGTTTCTAGTCCTCCAGGCTGCAGAGAAAGGCTTCAGATGGGAGGGTGTGATATTTCACACTAACCCTAATCTTAGTCCCAATCAGCATAAAAAGCATCGATTGGCTCTATTTGCCCGGGAAAGTTGGGTCCAGCCCACCCCCTCCTGTCAGCCCCAGTAGGTAGACCACACCAAGAAATCAACGACTTTTATTGAAATTGCATATAATGCCAAAATCTTCCAAGTCCGATTGTGCTGGACCTCCTCCTCCTCCTGCTTATAGTTCAGTGAATTAGGGAGGGGTCTGCCTGAACCGCTTCCGAATATTATCTGTCTGTTGTGGGCTTAAAAGATGTTTTACCCCTGCCAAGGTTGAGAAGCGCGGGCTCCAGTGCCGCCCAGGAGAAAACAGGGAGGGAGAAAGAGAGGGGTTAGGCCTCCTTTTGCAAGTCAATTTTTTTTTTCAGAGCTTCCTGCTGGTTTGCTGAATTTGAGAGGGCTTTGCTGGATGTATCACACACTCCCTCCAAGGAAGAACTGAGTCACTTGGGCCGTCCCCATTTGTGATGGAGACCCATCACAAGCCACGTTTCTTCTTTACCCAAAACCTCTCTCTCTCTTTCAGCCTCTTCCCCCACTTTTTTGTCCCAGTCATTATCCCCAAATAACCGCAAACCACCCTATTTCCGCTGCAGCATCCTCCTTTTTTTTCAAGATCAGAACAATAATAATTAACAA